TTTGGAAGAGGCTCCCCCTGGAGGTGTTACAGTCATGGACCCTGCTGATCTTCAAAAAGCATCTTGATGCCCATCTTGCTGGGGTCATCAGATCCCAGGAGTTTTTCCTGCCCAAGTGCAGGGGGGCTGGACCTGATGATTTGTAAGGTCCCTTCCAGCCCCATAACAACTATGAAATTATGTCTGGTCTGTCATCTGATAAAAGAAAGCTAAACTTGGGCAGTTTACCCTTAAATGAAACAATTTCCTAAATGACCATGTTACAAATGATTATCTAATATTTTATGCATACAATACAGTCCTAGTAAGGGTTGAGGGCAGAAGCCCAGCATTCATTCTTCCTAGCATCATACTATCTTTACAGGCTACAGAGCAATGCTCTTGCCTGCTTGCTTCCTCACGTGGCTTCAAAGCTCTTGCATTCCATTCTGCCCAGTGGCCCAGCTTTTTCAAAAGGCAGGCTGGAGAGTGTTGTCTCCTAGTCTATTTTGTAGTGTGCTGGTTAAGGGTTCTTTGCCTCAGGTGGACATATATCATACCATATTTACTTGATTCTAAGACCAGGTTCCCCCTGTTTTACATAGGTGGGGAACCCTCATCTTATAATTGAGTATGAGGGGAAGGCAGGAAGTTGCTGCGGCTTGGGCTCTAGCTTTGATCTGGCGTTGGGGTTGTAGCTGCAGCTGCTACCTGTTCCCCTCTACCCCCTTCAAACCCCACACCCACTGCCTCTGCTCCCCATCATCTCCCCACTGCAGCCTCTTCTCCCCATCTCACCCTATACAGTGTTGCCAGCCTTGGCCATTTTCAAGGGGCCTCGGCCAAGGTGCAGTATTATGGCTTAGCAGAAGGCCCCAAGCCTGTTTCCGACTGACTCTAATGTGAACCTTTGCAGATGTGACAACTAGTTTGGTCAACAAAGTAAAGGAAGCCATCCACATGTCTAACTAAACCAGTAATGATATACAGTTAAACAAAACACAAGGCCTGGGAAGCGACATTATCAGGGAAGGCCATACATTAAGTAATACAAATATACTATATTGTAGCTTTATCTTAAAATATTAATAGCACTAATAAATAATAGTGGTAGTGATGTAGCTGAAAGTATTAGATGTTATTTTGCTATAACAGATGTTAAGGTGCTTAGATAATGTGTAAAAACAAAATGGCATTGTCAGAGAATACCATAAAATAAGGTAAAGAAGAAACAGGATAGTGTTGAACAGCATTCTATGATGGTAAAGGAAAAAAGATAAAAAACTCTCCCTTTTACTTTCCTAAGGATATAAATCCCAGCTAACTGACATCTTCCAAGTCCACAAGAGATCTGGTTCAGTCCAGTTCCAAAAGTTTGAGTCAAACAAAGAAATTTAAATAAACCCAATCAGAGATCATTTATTAGAATATTAGAATCAGCCATCTATAAATATGGAGTATAGGCTGGGGGGACTATTAGAGAACTCAGCAAATTCAAAGAAGACCTACTGCCAACCTGTGTTCCACTCTTCTCTCACCTCCTGAGTCTCCCCAGCCAGGTTGTTATGTTGTGATGTCACAGGTAGTCAGACAGACTTACAGATAAATGTTTGTTTTTGTGCTTTGAAGTGCAAACAAATAAAAAGGTCAGACTGTAGACCTTTTTTACTACTTTTATCAGTAGTCAACCTACAAGGTTACCTGTAAACTGGGTAACAGCCCATGGGGGACTGGTGCCTCCTGACTTTGGGGGGGCATCAGGAGGGCATGACTGTGAGGGGGTCACCCAGCAGCCAGCCAGCGGCAGAGCCAAATTCAGGGGGGCACTAATGTTCTCTGTGCCCCACTGCCAGCCAGAGTGCTTGCTCTCAGGGGGGGCACCAGTGCTCTCAGGGGGGGCACCAGTGCTCTCGGGGGGGGTACATGTCTCCCCATGCCCCCTATGCATCGCCTATGCATCAGCCTCTGCTCCCTGCCTGCCCTTCTCCCCCTCCCCTGTACCATTGCTCTGCACCAGCAGGCTCCATGCATGCTGCAGCCTCAGATATTGAGCACACCCCCAGCCCAACCTGAAGCAGCAGTGCGCAGCCTGTGGGGCTACTACAGGGGCTGGGCTGTGGTTTGTGGCCCCTCACTAGGGCCAACTGAATATGGATCTTTCTTAGTTTTTCTTGCAATAATTGCCAGTTAACTCAGAAATGTGGATACAAACAAGGGGGTTTCTGTAATCTCTATGTTCTCCACCTGCATTA